AAGGAAAGAGCCGGCTCTACTTCAGAGTCTAGATTGGTGTGCTGTAGCTCCCTGAAAACTGCTAATTCTGCCATCAAAAGAGTGATTCCCCCTTGGCAGTGCTCAGTCCAGGATGCATCCCCTTTAGCCTTGATGTCGTCCAAACATTGGCTCAAGATAGATTCACAGTCTTCAAGAGAAGCCCCCTCAACACTGACAATATTAATAATCGTTTGCATCCAACGTTCCAGTTCATTAATCGATTTCTTCAGAGCCCGCGAGCGTGGAGGAGGAAGGGTTGGATAGATTAAACCCGTATGTCCGTCCTGAACAGGTGTTGGAGCAATTTCAGAAGAAGGGCCCTCTCCAGCTCTATCGTCCTCAGGAATCGAAGGAATCGATTGGGGCATTTCGTCCTCTCTGTCAATTAAACGCTCAACGAGCGCAGACTTCATCGAGTCCCCCATTAATTTGGCCTTTTTGGAATTTTTGGCCATGACAGGTATCCGCTTACGAATTCTCCTGTCATACTCACCTTGTTCAGTAGCGGAAAGAGTTTCCTTACCCGATCTTAAAGAACGAGGTGTAGGAATGGGCTCTTCTGCAGGAATCTCCTCAGTTGTCTTTTCTTCGGGAGAATCATCAATTGGCTTTCCCTCTTCAATTCCCTTAGGAACCTCTTCTTCAGAAGGTTCTACGGTGGATAAGTCCTTAGGAGCTTCAACGGCTCCGGTCGCTTCCTGTTCACAAGATAGGTACTCTTCCATCCCTGGTAGACGAGTACTCGCAGAACCGCTCCGTGAACGATACAATTCCCGAATCACGTTTATACATGAAGTATAAACGTCATATTCCGGAATCTGAGAAGCTTCGACAAACCACTGACAGAAATCCATAACAGTAGAACAGCCGGGCGGTGAGTTGGGTAAAGTGAATTGCGCATGGGTTCCCCCGGCGGAGAAGAAGTACCATGCACGAGCTCCTTCATACAAATTTCCAATCTGAGCTAACGCTGGGTTAGGATTACCAACATAGAGTTGGTCATACCCAAACTGTCTGGCGAACAGTGAAGGCATGTAAGGCTCGATTATGCACTTCTCCCGCGAGCGATAGACCAGGTAGCCCAACCTGATCATTGTTTTCAGCGAAAGTTGTTTCCATTGCAGATTCCATTAAAACTTCGATCGTTTACAAAGAATTACAATGAAAATAAAAGAAAATACAACTCTCGAGAAAATAACACAGAAATTGTTTATCAACTCCTGCTTTTGTGGGACTTTGCCTGTGCCGGGAACGCTTTAGTTCGTGGACCACCGATTCGTAGATCGAGAGGTTGTTTAAGGATCTCTCCTTCGTTTATCAAAGTAAAGATTTGAAAACGAATATCTTATCGATGTAAGATGTCCGTTCTTCCAAAGATCAAGTCTGAGCTTAGATCTCTAGGATTCACCAAATGATGCTTGTCAGAGGGTGAAAATTCTCTCTTTCTTTCTCAAAATCACCAAAGACTCAAGTATCTTCTGCTCCAAAAATGATCTCCCCCCTTTAATTCGTGCCTAGGGAGGTATTTATAGGGCTCTCAGTGCACCACAGTTGAAACGGAGGCGAAATAACTGACTGGCCGTTTTCTCTTTGGCCGCTGCAGTCTACACTGCCGCGGCTATTGGCGCGGCAGTATAGGCTGCCGCGGCCAAAGAGACGGTTATGAGCACGTTCCATCGCGCTCAAAACTACTCTCCCACGAACTTTAACCACCTTTTTCGTGGTTTAACCGCTTTTCCACGTCAGCACACGTTCTATCTTTGATATGCTGCCACGTGGGCTTCAAAAAATCATCAAATAACTGTCTTATAACTGCCACGTCATCCTCTTATAACCAACGCGACACTATAGGCCGCCGCGTCTACATTTTTTTAACGCCTACAGATACCCCCTCCAAAGTATCTCAGACTCATCATTTTTTGAGAGGAGTCTGGGACACTTTGGATATGATAAGCTTTTCTTGCAATTTCTCCAGTGCTTTGTTGGGGAAGTTGCGTAGAATGGTCCGCGAATGGCTTCAATTCTTGACTTCTTCATCTTTTAGCTTATTCAGTGCTTTGTAGAATAGATAAGATTCCTCCGGTGTTGCGTTTATCGTGTGACTATTGTCGAAGTCTTGAATCAGAACCGTTGTTGAAAATTGGGGAAATAGTTTATACTCATATACTCTATTGGAGTGTTCAGGGAATAGTTTAACCTCATATACCCGTTGGGAGGTTCAAGGAGATGCAGTTTATACTCATATACTCATCGGAGTGTTCAGGGAATAGTTTAACCTCATATACCCGTTGGGAGGTTCAAGGAGATGCAGTTTATACCCATATACTCATCGGAGTGTTCGGGAAACGTTCAAGGAGATGCAGTTTATACTCATATACTCATCGGAGTGTTCAGGGAATAGTTTAACCTCATATACCCGTTGGGAGGTTCAAGGAGATGCAGTTTATACTCATATACTCATCGGAGTGTCCGAGAATGTATTCCAAATACAGAGGGAGATGTATGTGTTCAAACACCGAAGAATTATCGTGTATGCACCATGTTTCTGTATGTCGAAGTGGATCTTGGTGGGTTAGCTGCCGCGGCAGCTTATACTGTCGCGCTTGAGCGCGGCAGCATAGACTGTCGCGCTCGAGCGCGACAGCATCTTGTGCCGCGCAGCGCGCATCGAATGGCGCAGCGCCTCAGCCAGTCGGGTTATAAGATGCTGTTGGGCCTTTTTCGGGTCATTTTCCCCGCTTCTTTTAGTTCGAAACGTCCCCCAAAACCCTATAAAGGGATTTTCTGGCTTTTCCCCCCTTTCAACTCTTCCTATTCGAGTGCTAGGGTTTTCTTGAGATCTAGGGTTTTGACTCCTCGTTGATTTTGATCTCTTCTTAACTTGATTTCTTCTAATCCCAGGTAAAAATCGCCCCTGCATCTTATGCTTTATGGCCCGATTCCGTTCTTTTGTTTGGGATCTCACAAAAACCCTAATTTTTTTTTATTCTTTAGTTCGGTCTCATTATGTCTCTCCAAAGAAGACTCGTGGTTCGAAGGGAAAATCAGCGGCACCAGCACCTGGGGATGTCGAGGCTGCAGTTCCTTCCTTTGGGGGTAAGTTTCTTCCACTTCTCTTCTCTGAAACTGTTGATTTTGTGCATATAACCTCGTTTGTCTCCGTTGAGAGGCATTCGGGAAGAGTTGACATCCCCCACCGAGGGGATTGACGCTTCAAAACACATACCTTGTTCAATCAAGGCATGTACCACAGTTAAGACACGGGTATTCGTCGAACTCGTGTCTTTTCAATATCAAAGGCCGCTGCTCAGTTACCGCGGCA